ACCCTTCAATGGGATGCCTCCTATTTGTTTAGCTATGGCTTCTTGGCTGGCTAAAAAATTTTTAAACTCTACAAGTGATGGTTAAGTGGATCATCCTTGTACAACAATAATAAAGCTTCTCTATTCTGGTCGCAATCTGTGGATTATAATCCTCTTCATTCAAGATTCTACAATGGCAGACTTCGGGTCCAGTTCAGTAATTTCCCGATAGATCGACTTGACCTTGTGGAAGTACTGAGCAATCGTCATGTCACGTTGTGAAATTGACAACAACTCATTCTCCAGAAGTTGTAGCCTCGTATCGTTCTTCTTTGAGAACAACATCACAATCGTGTCCCATACTTCTTTTGGTGTCTTGTCATCCCAAATATGCTCTAACATCTCTTCTCTGATTGTGGTCGTCTGCCTGCTTTGATTCTCCATTTGCGCAAGGCACCGTTAGAATCATCCTCTAGCGGCATAGTTTCACACCCGCCAACGATCTCCTAAAGATCATGTCCTTGTAAATAGGACATCATGCAAGTTGCCCACGTGTTGTAGTTGTTGTTGTTGAGTTTTTTTATCCTCCAATGATTTGGAAATCACCCATCGTGTTGGCTATACCTCAGTAATACTAAACAAGCTCTTTCGACACAAGACTTGTAGAGTCACAGACTACTCACGACACAAAATAAACTCACTCACTACTAATCTCAAGAAATTGTTTCTAATGTGGAAGATCAGGCAGAGTTGCAACCACAATGCATACTAAGAATTCCAAGCGATCAGATAACCCACACTAACTTGGCTCTGATACCAGATTGTTGAACACAACTCTCTATAGGAAACACTCGCACACTTTATTAAGATCAATCGAGAAGAGATTTACAAAACACTCTATAGACTACTACTTTGTATTGCTTGGGATTTATGAACTAAGTATGGTTCGAACAACGGTACAAAATAGAATAGAATAGAATAAATAATAATAAAATCGTAAATAATACCATCTCTCCACTAATACAACCAAACTTCTTCCACAACTGTCTCAACACCTCCTCCAATTGTCAAACAATTCTAAAAAAACAAAAAAAAAATGGTAAATTTCCATGAGAGAGATGTTGTTATTCTTGGAAAAGAAAAAAAAAATAAAACAGAATGAAAAAAAACGTCAGATTTGAGAAAAACGAAAATGGCCTTCACCCGTAGAAAATGAAAATGGCCTTCACCGGTAGGCGTAGATTTACTGAAGAGGGGTGTGGTTGTAATGGTACACATTAAATCATTCCTTTTAGTTTATCCTAAATTTCATTCTAGGAAATCACAACCAATTATATCTAAAATCTTGACTTCACAATTATTTAGGTCAATAATTTTGTATGAATTATGGTAAATCATTAGCTAAATGATGATTAAATTAGAAACTAATACTATCTATGAATGTAAATCAAGAATAAAATAATAATAATAATAAAGAAACAGTAAAGATTCGGAAAGAAAGATCCATTAGAATACAAGGAAGAAAAATACAGAGAATCCAAAATTGAAACAAGAAAACAAAAATATAGAAACATGAAAGATTTGGGGAAGAAGAATCCATTAGAATATAGAGAATAAAAATAGGCAGGAGAAAGGCCTAACAAAATCAAAAGAAAAAAAAAAAGGAAAATACATAATACTATTAACAACAAAATAAAACAAAAAAAAATTAAGAGTAAAGAACTGATTAAAAATTGGCTAATAATAAATGTGAAAGATTTGGAAGTAAGAGAAAATATTTCTGAACACAAATTAAAAGATAAAGGGAGGTACATGTACACACAAAGAAAATGGAAGATCAGATTAAATATCAATAAGAAAATGAAAGATCATAAATATTAGACGGCAACAAAAAAATGAAAGATCAGAAATATCATAAGGCAACAAATATTAAAAGATAAGGAGAGTACATATAGAAAATGAAAGGTCAAATTAAATATCAAATGGCAAGAAAGCACGAAATACTGTCACTTCAAATAATAACATCAAATTCTTAAGATGGTAATACTAGAAAATGAAATCTTAATAAAAATAGAGTTATATATATATATATTATATAGATGGATGTTATAACCGTTCCAAGACTTTACTCATACAAAGTCTTTAATGCTCGCATGAAGTCTAGCACATGAACCATTGTAAGAGTTAGAAAGTTGAACGGGAAATTGATATCATGGATTCATATAGGTTGACTTGAATACAAAGGACAAAATCGAACTTTCATTAAGGATAAATTGATAACACTCGCCTAAGCTAATCAGGTAAGTGAACTTACTATAGGATAGGCTAAAAATTGTATAAATTATGATGATGTATGAACTGTGTCGGACGATGTCATATGATAGTATGTGATGATGTATGAGTTATGACGATGTATGATGTCGTATACTAGTATATGATGATGTACGAGTGTATGATAATGTATGAGTTATGATGTTTGATGATGTGCATAGTATATATATATTTCGATGAATGACGTATTTGATATGCTTGATGCACTTTATGGAAATATGATGAGTATGATGATTGCATGATGTTTTACCTTAATATGATGAGTATGATGATTGCATGATGTTTTACCTTAATATGATGATGTTTTCCATATTGAGCATGTTATATGATGATGAGTGCCATATTGCATCATGTCATTAGATCGACATAGGACACAACTCTAAGAGCATGAAAATGATATTAATATAAATATCCATGAGTATGTATTACCTAGATTAACAAAGAGATGAGACTAGAAGGTTGTGTCAGAAGAGACATTATGATGGATTTAGAGGGACCTCATGCATATTGTATAATCATAAGCATAGGGCTACTTCCTTTAGAGATGATGAGTGCGGATGCGCACAGTATGATGATGAGTGCGAATGTGCACGAGCACAAATGCACACAGATGAGGGTGTTCATGAGGTGCATGACACTATGGAGTTTCGCTGACCTCTGGACGTCGCTACGGATTAGCTTGACTAGAGGGACAAAAGGTGTGCGAGCACCCTGAAGATTCACACTCACACGTGTGAATTGTGTGTAGGGAAGTACTACACATCCAATTTGTCGAGGCACCCCTTAAGATGATTAGAGATATGTCCTTAAATCATGATTGCATGTGTTTGCATTTGCATGGCCCCCTATAGTGCGGCCACTTACTGAGTATTCTTTGAAATACTCAGGCCGTGTGCCACATCATTTTCCAGGTGAAGACAAGGCGCACTTGTATGGAGGATGGCGGTATCACGAGTAGAGACTGTGACACGTGCATAGAGTAGACTCATTTAAATTTCTAGTTTAAGTTAGAATTTGCATTTCATTGTTTTAAATTATTTTGTATTTGTTTTTATTTTTTCTAAATTTAAGTATTTCGTATTTAAACACAACCATGACTCATATAAGAGTTATAAGCATGAAACTTTAGTAGAGACTCTGAGTATGTGGAAATTTAGGGTCGGTGGAGGGGTACTAAATATAGTAAATCTATTCCAAAAATTTCTCAACATTTTCCTAAAATACCTAAATCATTTTCCTAAATTTATTCCTAAAATCAATTATTTTCTTAACAGAAATATAGTCACTCAATGGTTGGGCTTAACCCTATTGGGCTAGTGATGATATTTTAACTTCGTTATCAACCTCACAGTTTTAAACCGAATCTACTATGGATAGGTTTTCAGACCCTTGCAAGAAACGTTTCTTCACCTCTCTAATGGATCTGGGATCTCACTATCAACCCCTTCTGAATGCCAAAAGTCCTCACTGGCACATCGCCTATGTTTCTTCACCTCTCTAATCGATCTGGGATCTCACTATCAACACCTTCTGATGCCAAAAGTCCTCGCTGGCACATCGCATAGTGACTAGCTATGATTTCATTTGTAAAAGTCCAAGCCCACTGCTAAAGTCCAAGCCCACTGCTAGTAGACATTGTTAATTCTTGCCTAGTACGTATTGTCATGAGTCTCACAGTTTTAAAACGTACATATTAGGGAGAGGTTTTCGCACCATTATTAGGATTGTTTCGTTCCTCTCTCCAACAGCCAATAGATATTATCTACTTTAATCCGTTACGCATCGTCGTTCTCTCTAATCGATCTGGGATCTCACTATCAACTCCTTCTGAATGCCAAGAGTCCTCACTAGCACATCGCCTAGTGACTAGCTCTGATTTCATTTGTAAAAGTCCAAGCCCACTGCTAGCAGACATTGTTCATTCTTGCTCAGTAGGTATTGCCATGAGTCTCACAATTTTAAAACGCGCCTATTAGGGAGAGGTTTTTGCACCATTATTAGGATTGTTTCGTTCCTCTCTCCAACAGCCAATAGATATTATCTACTTTAATCCGTTACGCATCGTTCCTCTCTCCAACAACCAATAGATATTATCTTTTTTAATCCGTTACGCATCGTCATTCTCTCTAATCGATCTGGGATCTCACTATCAACTCCTTCTGAATGCCAAGAGTCCTCACTGGCACGTCGCCTAGTAACTAGCTCTGATTTCATTTGTTGTGCCAAGTAACTAGCTCTGATTTCATTTGTTGTGCAAAGTAACTAGCTCTGATTTCATTTGTAAAAGTCCAAGCCCACTGCTAGCAGTTATTGTTCATGATCTGGGATCTCACTATCAACTACTTCTGAATGCCAAGAGTCCTCACTGGCACATCGCCTAGTAACTAGCTCTGATTTCATTTGTAAAAGTCCAAGCCCACTGCTAACAGACATTGTTCATTCTTGCCTAGGAGGTATTGCCATGAGTCTCACAGTTTTAAAACGCGCCTATTAGGGAGAAGTTTTCGCACCCTTATTAGGATTGTTTCGTTCCTCTCTCCAACAGCAAGTAGATATTATCTATTTTAATCCGTTACGTATCGTCGTCAGCCTCACAATTTTAAAACGCGTCTACTTGGGAGACGTTTACACACCCGTATACGGAATGATAAATTCCCCTCCCAAAACAATCAAGGAATGCACAATTAGTAGTCAGGATGGTCGAGTGGTCTAAGGCGCTAGACTCAAGTTCTGGTCCACGTAAGAGGGCGTGGGTTCAAATCCCACTTCTGACATATCCATTCATGTTTATTATTAGGCAAAACTCGTGCCAAAGTGGATAATATCTACTAACAACCGTTATGGGATTGTGTTGAAATTTTCAACGCTAAGAAATGTTACTCGTTCCGTGGTGGATATCAATTGAACTCAGCATTTCATTTTAAAAGTGTCAAAACATTATTGTTTAGTTAGTTCTCGTTCACGAGACCATCACAAAATCGATGTTGATTGAAAATTTCTACTAGGGAGGAGAAGCACCAAACACAATTATAAGGCATGGCTTCATTCACAACATCGCTAAGAGAAGGGCTTGAACCTCCAACCTTGTGGTTAACAGCCACACGCTCTAACCAACTGAGCTATTCCAACCAATCATTTGCTACAATCCAAGACCACCATTAGTTGATATTATCTGATTTCGTTCTTTACGTCTCGGTATCTCCCTCACGGTTTTAAACTGTATCTACTATGGATAGGTTTTCAGACACTTGTAAGAAATATTTCTTCACCTCTCTAATCGATGTGGGATCTCACTATCGACCCTTTCTGAGTGCCAAGCGTTCTCACTGGCACATCGCCTAGTGACTAGCTCTGTGTTCATTTGTAAAAGTCCAAGCCCACTGCCAGCATACATTGTTCATCCTTGCCCAGTAGGTATTGCCATGAGCCTCACAGTTTTAAAACGCGCCTATTAGGGAGAGGTTTTCGCACCCTTATTAGGATTGTTTCGTTCCTCTCTCCAACATCCAGTAGATATTATCTATTTTAATTCGTTACGTATCGTCGTCAGCCTCACAGTTTTTAAACGCGTCTACTTGGGAGACGTTTACACCCATATACTGAATGATAAATTCCCCTCCCAAACCAATCCAGGAATGCACAATTAGTGGTCAGGATGGCCGAGTGGTCTAAGGCGCCAGACTCAAGTTCTGGTCCTCGTAAGAGGGCGTGGGTTCAAATCCCACTTCTGACATCCATCCATGTTTATTGTTAGGCAAAACTCGTGCCAAAGTGGATAATATCTACTAACAACCGTTATGGGATTGTGTTGAAATTTACAACGCTAAGAAATGGAACTCGTTCCGTGGTGGATATCAATTGAACTCAGCATTTCATTTTAAAAGTGTCAAAACATGATTGTTTAGTTAGTTCTCGTTCATGAGACCATCACAAATCGATGTTGATTGTTTAGTTTAGTTAACAGCCACACGCTCTAACCAACTAAGCTATTCCAACCAATCATTTGCTACAATCCAAGACCACCATTTGTTGATATTGTCTGATTTTGTTCTTTACGTCTCGGTATCTCCCTCACGGTTTTAAACTGTATCTACTATGGATAGGTTTTCAGACACTTGTAAGAAATATTTCTTCACCTCTCTAATCGATGTGGCATCTCACTATCGACCCTTTCTGAGTGCCAAGCGTCCTCACTGGCACATCGCCTAGTGACTAGCTCTGTGTTCATTTGTAAAAGTCCAAGCCCACTGCCAGCATACATTGTTCATCCTTGCCCAGTAGGTATTGCCATGAGCCTCACAATTTTAAAACGCGCCTATTAGGGAGAGGTTTTCGCACCCTTATTAGGATTGTTTCGTTCCTCTCTCCAACATCCAGTAGATATTATCTATTTTAATCCGTTACCTATCGTCGTCATTCTCACAGTTTTTAAACGCGTCTACTTGGGAGACGTTTACACACCCATATACGGAATGATAAATTCCCCTCCCAAACCAATCCAGGAATGCACAATTAGTGGTCAGGATGGCCGAGTGGTCTAAGGCGCCAGACTCAAGTTCTGGTCCTCGTAAGAGGGTGTGGGTTCAAATCCCACTTCTGACATCCATCCATGTTTATTGTTAGGCAAAACTCGTGCCTAAGTGGATAATATCTACTAACAACCGTTATGGGATTGTGTCGAAATTTTCAACGCTAAGAAATGGAACTCGTTCTGTGTGGTGGATATCAATTGTGAACTCAGCACTGCTTTTTAAAAGTGTCAAAACATGATAGTTTAGTTAGTTCTCGTTCACGAGACCATCACAAATCGATGTTGATTGAAAATTTCTACTAGGGAGGAGAAGCACCAAACACAATTATAAGGCATGCTTCATTCACAACATCGCTAAGAGAAGGGCTTGAACCTCCGCCCTTGTGGTTAACAGCCACACGCTCTAACCAACTGAGCTATTCCAACCAATCATTTGCTACAATCCAAGACCACCATTTGTTGATATTATCTGATTTCGTTCTTTACGTCTCGGTATCTCCCTCACGGTTTTAAACTGTATCTACTATGGATAGGTTTTCAGACACTTGTAAGAAATATTTCTTCACCTCTCTAATCGATGTGGGATCTCACTATCGACCCTTTCTGAGTGCCAAGCGTCCTCACTGGCACATCGCCTAGTGACTAGCTCTGTGTTCATTTGTAAAAGTCCAAGCCCACTGCCAGCATACATTGTTCATCCTTGCCCAGTAGGTATTGCCATGAGCCTCACAATTTTAAAACGCGCCTATTAGGGAGAGGTTTTCGCACCCTTATTAGGATTGTTTCGTTCCTCTCTCCAACATCCAGTAGATATTATCTATTTTAATCCGTTACCTATCGTCGTCATTCTCACAGTTTTTAAACGCGTCTACTTGGGAGACGTTTACACACCCATATACGGAATGATAAATTCCCCTCCCAAACCAATCCAGGAATGCACAATTAGTGGTCAGGATGGCCGAGTGGTCTAAGGCGCCAGACTCAAGTTCTGGTCCTCGTAAGAGGGCGTGGGTTCAAATCCCACTTCTGACATCCATCCATGTTTATTGTTAGGCAAAACTCGTGCCTAAGTGGATAATATCTACTAACAACCGTTATGGGATTGTGTCGAAATTTTCAACGCTAAGAAATGGAACTCGTTCTGTGGTGTGGATATCAATTGTGAACTCAGCACTGCTTTTTAAAAGTGTCAAAACATGATAGTTTAGTTAGTTCTCGTACACGAGACCATCACAAATCGATGTTGATTGAAAATTTCTACCGGGAAAGAGAAGAACCAAACACAATTATAAGGCATGCTTCATTCACACATCGCTAAAAGGAGGGCTTGAACCTCCAACCTTGTGGTTAACAGCCACACGCTCTAACGAACTGAGCTATTCCAGCCAATCATTCGCTACAATCCAAGACCACCGTTAGTTGATATTGTCTGCTTTCGTTCGTTACGTCTCGGTATCTCCCTAACGGTTTTAAACTGAATCTACTATGGATAAGTTTTCAGACCCTTGCAAGAAATGTTTCTTCACCTCTCTAATCGATGTGGGGTCTCACTATCGATCCCTTCTGAGTGCAAAGCGTCCTCACTGGCACATCGCCTAGTGACTAGCTCTGATTTCATTTCTAAAAGTCTAAGCCCACTGCCAGCAGACATTGTTCATCCTTGCCCAGTAGGTATATCAATGAGCCTCACAGTTTTAAAACGCGCCTATTAGGGAGAGGTTTTCGCATCCTTATTAGGATTGTTTCGTTCCTCTCTCCAACAGCCAATAGATATTATCTATTTTAATCCGTTACGTATCGTCGTCAGCCTCACAGTTTTTAAACGCGTCTACTTGGTTGACGTTTACACACCCATATACGGAATGATAAATTCCCCTCCCAAACCAATCCAGGAATGCACAATTAGTAGTCAGGATGGCCGAGTGGTTTAAGGCGCCAGACTCAAGTTCTGGTCCTTGTAAGAGGGCATGGGTTCAAATCCCACTTCTGACATCCATCCATGTTTATTGTTAGGCAAAACTCGTGCCTAAGTGGATAATATCTACTAACAACCGTTATGGGATTGTGTCGAAATTTTCAACGCTAAGAAATGGAACTCGTTCTGTGGTGTGGATATCAATTGTGAACTCAGCACTGCTTTTTAAAAGTGTCAAAACATGATAGTTTAGTTAGTTCTCGTACACGAGACCATCACAAATCGATGTTGATTGAAAATTTCTACCAGGGAAGAGAAGAACCAAACACAATTATAAGGCATGCTTCATTCACACATCGCTAAAAGGAGGGCTTGAACCTCCAACCTTGTGGTTAACAGCCACACGCTCTAACGAACTGAGCTATTCCAGCCAATCATTCGCTACAATCCAAGACCACCGTTAGTTGATATTGTCTGCTTTCGTTCGTTACGTCTCGGTATCTCCCTAACGGTTTTAAACCGAATCTACTATGGATAAGTTTTCAGACCCTTGCAAGAAATGTTTCTTCACCTCTCTAATCGATGTGGGGTCTCACTATCGATCCCTTCTGAGTGCAAAGCGTCCTCACTGGCACATCGCCTAGTGACTAGCTCTGATTTCATTTCTAAAAGTCTAAGCCCACTGCCAGCAGACATTGTTCATCCTTGCCCAGTAGGTATATCAATGAGCCTCACAGTTTTAAAACGCGCCTATTAGGGAGAGGTTTTCGCATCCTTATTAGGATTGTTTCGTTCCTCTCTCCAACAACCAATAGATATTATCTTTTTTAATCCGTTACGTATCGTCGTCAGCCTCATAGTTTTTAAACGCGTCTACTTGGTTGACGTTTACACACCCATATACGGAATGATAAATTCCCCTCCCAAACCAATCCAGGAATGCACAATTAGTAGTCAGGATGGCCGAGTAGTTAAGTTCTGGTCCTTGTAAGAGGGCATGGGTTCAAATCCCACTTCTGACATCCATCCATGTTTATTGTTAGGCAAAACTCGTGCCAAAGTGGATAATATCTACTAACAGTTCCGTGGTGGATATCAATTGTGAACTCAGCACTGCTTTTTAAAAGTGTCAAAACATGATTGTTTAGTTAGCTCTCGTACACGAGACCTTCACAAATAGGTGTTGATTGAAAATTTCTACCAGGGAGGAAGAAGCACCAAACACAATTATAAGGCATACTTCATTCACACATCGCTAGAAGGAGTGCTTGAACCTTTGACCTTGTGGTTAACAGCCACACGCTCACTTCATTCACACATCGCTAGAA